GGCAGTGGAGAGGAAGGCTCCAGCAGGGACTGCGACTGGACAGGCGGTGGACCCTCTACTAGAGGAGAAAGACCAAGAACCTGCTGCAGGAGCGGAACGAAGTACGGCCGAGGCCGCGCGGCAGCTCCAGACGCGGCAGGGACAGCACCAGCACCCTCAGCGACAGCACAGCGCCACCCACACCTCCAGCGGCAGGACCAACAGCAGTAGGCTCAGCACCAACGGTCTCAGCAGCTCCAGCTCCAGGAGGACCCGCAGGTCCAGCAGCTCCGGGACCGGCAGCACCCGCACCCTCGACGGTCGAAGAAGCTCCAGCTCCAGCTCCAGCAGCACCTCCAGACTCAGCAGCACGCCTCCAGCGGCGAGCGAACCACTCGCGCAGCTCCTGTGGAGAGAGGGGCTCCCGGCGAGACGCAGCAGCAGGAGAAACCCTTGGCTCAACAGCTCCAGACGCAGCACCCCCAGGCTCAGCAGCTCCCAGCTCAGCACCCCCAGGCTCAGCAGCCCCCGACCCAGCACCCCCAAACCCAGCACCTCCAGGCACAGCACCCCCCGGCTCAGCACCCCTAGGCTCCGCACCCTCCGTAGTAGCACCCTCAGGCCCAGCACCCCCAGCAGTAGCACCCCCAGGCTCAGCACCCCCGCGCACAGCACCCCTAGAGTCAGCACCCCCACGCTCAGCACCCGCAGCAGCACCAGAGTCACCAGTAACCTCGACCGGGTCAACGGCGTCTACCTGGGACACACCTGAGGGGGCAGGAACCTGAGGGGGGAGGGGGTCTACCGGGGGGGGAACCGGCACAAGGAAGTCCGGGGGAGGGGGGAGGGAAGGAGTGCGGTAGGGGAAGAGACGGTAGAAGGGGACTGACTCCTCGAACGTGACGTCCTGGGAGGACAGAACACGACGAGAGGAGGGGTGGTAAAACTGCCACCCTGGGGCGTCAGTGGGGAAGCCAAGGAAGACACAGGGAGCAGCACGAGGGGACAGCTTGTCCGCAGACAAGTCGCGGACAAACGCCCGAGATCCCCAGACACGGAACACAGACGCATCGCCAACCTTCCCCGTCCACAGCAAGGCTGGGGACATCGCAGGCCGAGAGACCCGGGGGTGAAGGTTGAGCTGATGCGCCGCGTACCTCACCGCAAACGGCCACAGAAAATGGGGGGCAGCCGCATGCATCATGGACGTACGAGCGACATCCATGACCATGCCAATGCGGCGCTCAGCAATCCCATTTTGCTGTGGTGAGTCCGGAAGCGTGAAGGTCTGGCGGATCCCCCGTGCACGACAGTAGTCCCGCAGAAGGCGAGAAGAGAACTCTCCGCCTCTGTCCGAGTGCAGACGCAGAATAGGAAAGTCCGAGCCAAAGCTCTTCCTGAGCTGGAGACGAGCCTCGCGGATCCAGTCGATCAGCACCTCAGTGACCGCACCCTTGCTGCGCAAGGGGAGGACTGTGGTGTAACGCGAGTAGTCGTCAACCACCAACAGGAAGTAGCGCTCGTAACCCTGCCCACGGACGGGGGCTGGGCCCCACACATCCATGTGAAGCGTCTGCAGGGGAGCCTCTGTCGGGGGGAAGTGAGAGGAGTGAGGAGTAGCCCGGAGGCGACCCTCGACACAGGGGACACAGGAAGGTCCTGGCCCGGAGGGGAGAGGAGGGAGAGACTGGGGAAGACCAGAGACAAGGACACGGGAAGCCATGCTCCGAAGACGGGGCAAGGAGGGGTGGCCAAGACGGTGGTGCCACAGGAGAGTCTCGTGAGACAGGAGGCGACAAGAACAGGGGGCAGACTCAGGACCTGACCGGGACGCAGCAGCAAGTACCTGACCCGACGCAGCCACCTGACCAGACGCAGGGACAGGAGGAGACTCAACGGTCAGGGTGTAGAGACTCGACCCCGGCCGACGCGAGAACGTGGCCACGTGTCGGCCTGTGCGTGCCTCTGTGCAGTGGGTCACCCGCTGACTCGCAGGAGTGAACTGGTGAACCCCCTCATCCTGCAGGTCCGCTCCACTCACCAGGTTCGTAGAGAACGAGGGAAGGTACAGACCCGACAGGGTGCCCGAAGGGGCAGCCGGACACGGGAGGACAGTGGAGAAGTGAGACAGGACAGGACCCCCAGAGGGGTCAGCAAGGGAGACCGCAACCGGCCGGCCGAGCGGCGTAAGGGTAGTGCGGTCTCGAAAGAAGGAGCGAGAAGCTCTGGAGTCAAGTGTGAAAGTGAGGGAGGACGAGGACGACGCAGTACCTGAGAGCGCAGTCTCACCAGTACCTGAGAGCACAGACGCACTGGCACCTAGAGCAGCAGCCTCACAAGCACCTAGCGCAGCAGTACCAATGCCCGGGTCGGGCTGGAAACAACGGTAACCCTCATTCTCCTCACTATAATCCACAACATACATAGCAGCAAGGATAGCATCAAAATCAAGATCAAAGATCGCTACACCAGCCCGTAGAAGCTCATCCCGGCGAGGGATCTCACTAGCCCCAGGGAACTGCTGACGCCAAGCGTCCGTCAGGCGGCCAAAGCAGCGCTGGGTGGCGTGGGCACCCCCACACTGCTCACCCGCGCGGTCGTTGGAACGAAGAACGTAGGTGCAGGGACCAGTACCCCCACCCCTCTGACGCCCAGCGTACCACTCACGAAGCTGCTGAGGCGGAGGGATGTCCCGCGAGCGCTGCTGCCGCTGCCGCTGCGAGCGCTGGCCACCACCACCGCCGCTACGCTGCTGGGTACCACCTCGACCAGCTCCACCTCCTCCACCACCACCGCCGCCTCCGCTGCCGCCTCCACCGCCTCCACCTCCGCCGCCTCCACCTCCGCCGCTGCCTCCACCACCACCGCTGGCACCACCACCACCGTCTCCGCCGCTGCTGCCACCACCACCACCACCCCCGCCACTAGTCCCGCCGCCACCCCCACTCCCTCCGCCGCCACCGCCGCCACCGCCACCGCCCCCTCCAGCTCCACCCGCGCCCTTGCCCCCCTTGCCCTTGCTGGAGCGACGTCTCCCACTAGGGGCAGACGCCGCGCCGACCGACTCAAGACCAAGCAGGTCGGCAGCAGCAGCAGAGGCAACAGAGGGCAGCAAGGGGGAAGGAGAGCACCCCTCAAAGATGGGGGTGCGAGGGTCACCACGAGAAGCACCTACAGCGACTATGCTCTTCTCCGCTGCGAGGAGGGCCTTCTCGAGGAGGTCGACGGTGAGGGTGGTGGGACAGACTGCGAGAAAGTGGTCCCTGACGACGCGAAGGGAGTCAGGGAGGCGCGCGACTACGTAGTAGAGAGCGATGTACATGGGGGGGGGGTTCTTAGCACAGAACTCAGCAGGAAGGGCGGCGCGGTAGCGAGTGTCACTAGTGCGGAGGTGCGTAATGAGGTCAGCGACAGTGGGAAAGGCAGAGAGGTCAGGAAAGAGGTAGGGAAGCATGAGACGGCTCAGTGCAGCAGTGGCAGGGGAGGAGTAGCGCGCAACTACAGCATCGTACAAGGTCTGAGCACTCTTGTACTGACTAAAGTGCGCACGCTCAGAGGTAGGGAGGTGGCGACGCACAGCAAGACGTGCAGCAGCATCGCGGGTGGCCCACTTAGAGCGGACAGTGGGATCAGCATCAGCAGCAGGAGCAGGAGAGGCGCCAGAGGTGAGGTCAAAGAGAGAAAGGTCGTCAACCCTGTCGCACTGTAAGAACAGCTGCAGGTCGTCTAACCAGACCTCAAAATCAATGGCGCGACCCTCAGCGTCAAAAGCTAGGACACTAGGGGTAGCCATGGCGACGACAGCGACGCAGTGCAAGCAGTAGGGAAAGAGCTCGCAGTGTCAGTGGGACTGTGCTCACCAGGCAGGGCAGGTCGTGCAGCTATGCAGAAAGGCGGCTCAGCGACCGGGCGGCTCGGGTGCACAGCGGCTCGGCTCCCGGGCGGCTCGGCGCAGGGCGGCTCGGCTCTCGGGCGGCTCGGCAGCAGGGTGGCTCGGGTGCAGGGCGGCTCGGCTCCCGGGCGGCTCGGCAGCAGGGCGGCTCGGGTCCCGGGCGGCTCGGCGTTGGGCGGCTCGGCTCCCGGGGGGGGGGTTTGGCTGCTGGGGCGGCTCTGCTGCTGGGGCGGCTCGGCCGACAGGTGCAGCGGCGGGCCGGCAGGTGCAGTGGCGGGGCCGTAGGAGGCAGCGGCGGGCCGACCAGGTGGGGCGGCGGGCCGTAGGGTGCAGTGGCGGGCCGTGGGGTGCAGCGGCGGGCCGGCAGGTGCAGCGGCGGGCCGTAGGGTGCAGCGGCGGGCCGTAGGGTGCAGCGGCGGAGCCGGCGGTGGGGCCGCGTCAGGGGAGGCGGCGGGGCCGCGTCAAGCAGGCGGCGGGGCCGCGACGAAGCGGGCGGCAGGGCCGCGTCAGAGCCGGCGGAGCGGGGCCGCGTTAGTGGAGGCGGCGGGGCCGCGTCAAGCAGGCGGCGGGGCCGCGACGAAGCTGGCGGCAAGGTTGCGTCAGAGCCGGCGGCGGGGCCGCGCCAAGCAGGCGGCGGGGCCGCGATCATGAGGGGTGGCGGGGCCGCGTCTGAGGGACAGCGGGGCCGCGAGGGAAATGGCGACCCGAGGGGTCGCTTAAAAAAAGGCGCGCCTCGGGGCGCGCTTCGGTGGGCCCTAAAAAAAACGGTCCTAAGGAAGGACCCGCTCTATACCATGTGAAAACAAGTGAATAGGAATGAGAATGACTAAGTCAGAGTTGGGTACAAATACAACCCTAGAAAGCTGTACCCCATATGTGCTACCCCACTATAGCCTACAAACATGCATCAGCTATAATACTCTGACAAGGGGTTGTCTACTATACGGGTGTCTCTTATAAACAGGCTAGCCTTTTTATACGACACCTATTTGTGTGTATGAGATAAGACATAAATGTCTTAATCAGAACCAGGGTTTAGGGGTTTTCTTATAAACAGGGGGTGTCTTCTAAACGAGCCTTCCTTACTTTAGGGGTGTACATGCATACAGTCATGAATCTCTACTTCTACCTAACCCCCCTCAGTCACCGCCTCCTCACCTGCACTAACAACTGGCTCTACACCCAGGTCTGGCACTCGCCAGGCATGCCTAGCCGTCTCCCTAGGCTCGATCATGCGGTCAGCCTCGGCCGCCGGTCCACGGTAGTTGGGGGTCTCCTGGTACAGCACCTCCAGGCCGGTTGCCACGGCCACCTCCTGCACGCCCTCCGCCTGCATCGCCTCCTCCTCCTCCTCCTCCTCCTCTGGAGCCCGATCGAGCAGGCGCGTGTTGTCGCCTGTGGTCCCCCCGAGGGACATGTCCGCGGAGACATCGGTGGTGCTCCTGGCGCGCAGGTGAGACATCACCAGGTGGTTCTCCGTTCCGTCCAGCTTGCTTGAGATCCCACAGTGGCGGAACGCGTCGATGATGATCTGCTTGGGGACTTGATCCCAAGCCTCCGCGATCCACTGCAGCACCACGGGGTGCGGAGGCCTCCGCAGGTTCCCTGCGGGTGGGATAGAGGACGGGGCAGCGAGATGTTAGAGACACGGATATGAAGGAGCATGTTTAAGACAAGGACAGGAAACAGAATAGGAATAAAACAATAAATGAAGGACCAACTCACCCTTCTTCGTCTTCAGGTGAATCCCTTCACGCATGAACCACATGGCGTAGCGCGCTCGCACAGCAGCCTTGAAGCACCAGTTGATGGAGAAGTCAAGGGGTTGAATCTGGCTCGTACAACCCGCTGGGATGACTACAGGGGTGATGCTGTGCGTGCGGTACGACTGAAGCATGGTCTGGGTGATGTGACCGCGGTAGGAGTCCAACACCAGCATCGCCCGCCTTGCGTTCTGGCCGTGCTGGGGGTTCACATGGGGCAGCACCTCCTTGGACAGCCAGGTCTGCACTGCGCTCTCGTCCATCCACCCGTTGTCCTGTGCTTGGACCACAATTCCTGCCAGGCACACAAGGGACAGACGGGCATCAGCACAGTGGGGCACGCTCATCAGGCAGACGCACAGTTGAGTTCATTACGCTTACCTTCTAGAATCTCACAGTTGGGGACGTTCTTCATCTTGAACCACACCCACGGCCGCAACTTCTCCCTGGATGCAGTGCATGCGAGCATCACCGTCAAGCGCGTCTTCTGCTAGCCTGCAGTGCGGATTGGGACCGAGCGCGCGCCACGGTGCTCGATAGTCCGTTCGGCTGGCATCTCCACGAATAGTGGAGTCTGGTCCACGTTGATGATGCGGGCCAGGTCAATGTTGTGCCGCACCTGTTAGAATCTAGCAGCAGGAATGAGTGCATTGAACAGAGATGTAGGTACATATGCTGACCCTAATTTGGGTTGTACCCCTTATGGGCTACCCCACTACAGCCTACACAGCACAAGCATTATCACAGTTTGACACATACCCATAGGCAAAGTGGGGGAGAGCAAGGGGTCACAAGACCAGTCAAGAGAAGCAAAGCAAGCTCAGGGTGGATCACAACGTCACCACACACACTGAGCACAAGCAGAGGGCCACAAGGCCAGTTCACATGCAGAGGTATATATGCAACAACAGCATCACAGTGATCTCTACCTAGCAAAGCAAGCAAGCAGGTATATATATAGATCACAGTACAAACAAGGTCTATAGCAAGTGAGGAAACGTAGGCACCAGGCCTAACAAAGTAAAGAAACGCTGATGATCACCACACGCAAGTGCCTTGGTGAATATATCAGCAGTGTTGGCCCAAATGGCCACGTGAGCAAGACGAAGCTGACCTCGCTGCTGCAACTCTCGAGCGAGGAAGTAACGCAGAGCGATGTGCTTCGTTCTGTGCTCCAGTCTGTGCTCCTCACACAAGGCAATGGCGGCCTTGTTGTCTACGTATAGCACTGGAGGAGAACGAGGCCGGTCTCCCAGGTCGGTCAGCAGGTAGGTGAGCCAGCGTAGCTCCTGTGCAGCCATGGCTGTGGCGAAGATCTCAGCCACACAACTAGAGCCGAGAACAGAAGACGAGCGTGTAGACCGCCAAGAAACAGAGCCAGAGCCAAGGCTGAAGGTGTAACCCTGTGACGACCGCTGCGTAGCCTGGTCGTCAACCCAAGAAGCGTTCGACTGCCCAGTGAGGACAACTGGGCTCCGTCCTCCAAGGACGAGCCCCATGCCCAATGTACTGCACAAGTAGCGCAGTACCCTCTTAGCAGCAGCCATGTGCTCCGCTCGGTGCCTACCAGGAGCCACGTAGCGAGCGAGAAGGCCAAGAGGGTACGCAAGGTCAGGACAAGTGCAAGTCATCAGGTACATGAGGCAGCCCACTAGCTCTGGGTAAGGACCACTCGGCTCTACCGATTCGTCCGAAGGTGGAGCTGAGAGCGAGTGACCTGTAGCCAGAGGAGTGTGCTGTGGTGAGGACCAGGTGAAGTCGAAGCGCTGAAGGACCTGCTGCACCATGTGTGATTGAGTCAGTGTCATGGTGCGGCGTGCTCTGTCTCGGGTGATCTGCAAGCCAAGGTAGCTGCGCAGCTCACCCAGGTCTGTGCACGTGTGTCTCTTCTGCAGCTCCGACTTCACCAGGGCGAGAGCCTCAATGTCCGCAGTGGCAAAGACCAAGTCGTCGACGTACACGAGGATGTAGAACGGCGGCAGCGAAGTGTCGGTGCGCAGAAACAGCGACGGGTCAGCAGTAGAAGGCGCGAACCCAAGAGCCGCAAGTGTCGTCCTCAGTGTGTCGTGCCACTCACGTGGCGCTTGGCGGAGACCGTAGACCGGCCGCCGGAGGCTCCACTGGGTACCAAGAGGAAACGAACCAGTGAAGCTAGGAGGGCGGCGCAGCCAGATCTCCTCGTGCAGGCTGCCCTGTAAGAAACATGTGCTAAAGTCAAGAGAGTGAAGCTCGTAGTCACGCTGAGCGACAACGTGCAGCAGCACCCGAAGAGTGGTCATCTTCGGAGTGGGGGAGAAGGTCTGGAAGATGTCAACTCCCTCTCGCTGACTGAAACCTCGAGCAACGTAACGCGCCTTGAAGACAGGCGGAGAACCTGGCGGCCGCTTCACCCTGAAAATCCACATGCCACTGACGATGTTCGCCACAGGAGGGGGAACCTCGTCGACGTAGGTGCCTGTGGACCTCCAGGATGCCATCTCTGCGTCCATGGCTGTCTGCCACTGAGAGGAGTACTCAGCCGCGATCGCCTCAGCGTAAGAGCGCGGGGTCAGGATGTCTGGAGCATGCGGGTCTCCCTTAGGGGCAAGCAGCATGGACACGAGATGAGGCGCACCGGCTGCAAGACACTCAAGGTCCTCCTGCCTGTCCTCAAGGACGTCCGTGCCAAGAGCACAGTCACCCCCGACGGACGGAGGACAGACAGACTCAGACTCAGCAACAAGACTAGCGGCGTAGTCTAGACCATTGGCAGCAGCAAAGTCAACAAGCTCAGCGACTAATGCAGACGCAGCAGCAGACTCAAACAACGGGTCAGTGACAGCTGTGGCTAGCAGACGTGTGACAGTAGGGCTAGCAGCACAAACGTGGTCAGACTCAGGCTTAGGAACGGTAGGCAGAGAAGACATAGGAGGGGCCGGCAGGGGAACAGGCTGCCGAGGAGAGGAAGGAGAACAAACTACGAGGTGGGTGCCGGGGACAACCGGCTGACGCGAACGAGGAACACGACGACCGAAACGACCAGAACGGACAGGCGAGACAGGACGCGACGCAGGCTCACGATGCTCAGTAAGACCCCCTGGTTGCTCAGTGTAAGGAGAAGGAGCAGGATGCGGTGAGCTAGGCTGTAACGGAAGACTAGTAGACGAAGGGAGACTAAGAACCTGGCGAGGTACAGTGTCAGACGGTGGCTGAGACGACGGAGACGGCGGAGCAAAGAACAGGCGCGGCTGTGCAGTGCCACCAGCACCAGCAGCTCCAGCACCCCCAGCAGCTCCAGCACCTCCAGCAGCACCAGACCACTCAGCGCCAGCTCCTCCAGGACTAGCTCCACCAGTAGCAGCACCCTCAGAACCAGCACCTCCAGTCCCAGGGTCCCCAGCCTCAGTGTCACCAGCAGCAGCACCCCCAGACCCAGGGTCTCCAGCAGTAGCACCGTCAGGCTCAGCACCTCGAGCCCCATTAGCTCCAGTACCTCCAGTACGAGCACCTCCGGGACCAGCACCACTCCCAGCTCTAGTGACGGCAGCAGAAGTACCTCCAACGGCAGAGCGCCGAGCTCCAGAATTGCGACCCTTACGGCGACCGTACCAGTCGTGCAGCTGCTGAGAGGTGAGAGATACACACGGACGAAGGCGGCTACTTCAAGTAGACCGCGCAACAGCAGACTCAGAACCCTCAGCGCCAACACCCGCAGCAGCTCTAGGACCTCCAGCGCCTGCACCCTCAGCAGCTCCAGAACCTCCAGGTCCAGAACCTCTAGCACCAGCACCCGCAGCAGCTCCAGAACCTCCACCTCCAGCACCCTCAGCAGCTCCAGAACCTCCAGTAGAAACAACTCCAGTAGCAGAGTCACCGGCTTTAGCGCCTCTCGCAGCAGGGCCCCTAGCTTTAGCAGCGCGACCCTGACGGCCAACGTACCACTCACGCAGCTACTGTGGGGAGAGAGGGAGTTGACGACGGGAGTGCAGCGGCGAGGTACCAGCGGAGCGACTACGGAGACGGCTGCCCCAGGGAGACTGCTCACCAAACGCCTCAGCGCTCCCAGGTGCAGCACCCCCAGACTCAATACCCCCAGGCTCAGCACCCCCAGACTCCTCACGCCCAAACTCAGCACCCCAAGTCTCCGCACCCCAATCTCCGCACCTCCAAGCTCCGCACTCCCAGGCTCAGCACCCCTAGGCTCAGCAGCCCCAGGCTCCGCACCCCAAGGCTCAGCACCCCCAGTAGCAGCACCACGAGCAGGACCACCCTCAGCAGGACCTGAGTCACCAGTGACCTCAACTGGCGCAGGCAAGAGAGGAGGGTCTACCTGAGACACACTTGAAGGAGCATGACCGGGAGTGGGGAGGGGGTCTACCTGGGGAGCACCTGGAGCAAGGAAGAGCGACAGGGGGGGGGATAGGGGCAGTGCGGTAGGGGAAGAGACAGTAAAAAGGAACCGACTCGTCGAACGTGACGTCCTGAGAGGGGAAGACACGGCGCGAGGTGGGGTGGTAAAACTACCAACCAGGCGCGTCAGAGACAAAGCCAAGGAAGACACAGGGAACAGCGCGGGCGGAGAGCTTGTCCGCGGTGGTATCGCGGACAAAGGCACGAGCACCACAGACCCGGAAACGCGACGCATCACCAACCTTCCCCGTCCACAGCAGTGTGGGCGAGGTCTTCGGCAAGGAGACACGGGGCAAGATGTTGAGCTGATGCGCGGCGTACCGAACCGCAAACGGCCACAGAAAATGGGGGGCAGCCGCATGGATCATGGAGGTACGAGCGACCTCCATGACTAAGCCAATGCGGCGCTCAGCAACCCCATTCTGCTGCGGAGAGGCCGGAAGCGTGAACGACTGGGTGATGCCGTGCTCATCACAGAAGGCTGCCAAGAGGTCGGAGGAAAACTCACCACCTCTGTCAGAGTGCAGACGCAAGACGGGACACTCCGTCCTGAACCGCTCGCGGAGCTGGAGACGAGTAGCGCGGATCCAAGGGATCAAAACAACAGGGAACTCACCCTTGGTGCGCAAGGGGAAAACCGTGGTGTAACGCGTGTAGTCGTCGACGACCAGCAGGAAGTACCGCTCATGGCCCTGTCCACGGACGCGTGCTGGGCCCCACACGTCCAGGTGGAGAGTCTGCAGGGGAGCCTCTGTGGGAGGGAACGAGGAGGAGTGAGGAGCGGCGCACTGCCGCCCCTCGACACAGGGAAGACAAGGAGGAGCAGGCGAGGGTGGGAGGGGAGGGAGAACCTTGGGGAGACCAGAGACAAGGACACGGCGGTGCATGCTGCGAAGGCGCTGCACCGAGGGGTGACCAAGGCGGTGGTGCCAAAGGAGGGTCTGGTGCGACAAGGCGCGACACAAGCAGGAGGCCGACAACTGACCTGACACAGACGCAGACGCTGCTACCTGAGGGGACTCAGTGGTCAGTATGTACAAGCCCGACCCCGGCTGCTGAGTGAAGGTAGCCATGTGTCGACCCGTCTGAGCACACGTGCAGTGTGTCACACGCTCGTAGGCAGGGGTGAACTGGTGAACATTTGCGTCCTGGAGTGCAGAAGCCGCCACAAAGTTCATAGAGAACGAGGGGAGGTAAAGAACAGACAGTGTGCCGGACGGGACAGCAAGACAAGGGAGGACAGTGGAGGAGGTCACACGGACTGGACCCCCAGAGGGGTCTGCAAGGGAGACTGGAACCGGCCGACTGAGCGGCGTGAGGGTGGTGCTGTCGCGAAAGAAGGAGCAAGAAGCACCAGAGTCAAATGTAAAGGTGTACAAGGCCTGAGCAGGCGCAGTACCAGAGAGAGCAGACTCACCAGCACCTGGAGCAGCAACCTCACCAGTACCTAGAGCAGGAGACACACTAGTCCCTAGAGCAGCAGCCTCACCAGCACCTAGAGCAGCAAGCTCTATACCTGGGTCAGGCGGTACGCACAGGTGACCGGCACGGTCAGCACTAGTAGGCAATGCATAAATGGCAGTGAGAATAGCATCATAGTCAAGAGCAAATATATCTACCCTCTGCCCAAGCAGTTCCACCCACTCGGGGAGCTCAGCCTCGTCGCCAAACTTGGTACGCCAGGCGTCGCTCAGACGGGCGAAGCAGCAGGACTGTCTGTGTCTGAGCGTCCCGCAAGCCTGACTAGTCCGAGCACCAGTGCGAATGACGTATGGGCAGCGAACGGTACTTAGATACCCTCTACTCTAAGCGTACCACTCATGAAGCTGCTGGGGCGTGCGAGACTCGCGCGGACGTCGCTCGAGCTGCATCTGGCCACCGCCAGTAGCAGCAATAGTAGTAGTAGCAGCAGTAGCAGCAGTAACAGCAGTAGCAGCAGCTGCAGTAGTAGCAGCGCGGCCACCCCTACAACCCCAACTAGCGTACCACTCACTAAGCTGCTGGTGCGTGAGGGACTCACGCGGACGTCGCTGGAGCTGCATCTGGCCACTGTTAGTAGCAGCAGTAGCAGTAGTAGTAGCAATAGCAGTAGTAGAAGCAGCAGTGCGTGCAAGGCACGCGCGGCAGGCAGGCATGCCGACAGGCAGGCAGGCAAGCAGGAGGCAGGCAGGCGGCATCGCACGAACAAGGTAGGTGCTCACCAGTGGCAGGCAGGGCCGGCGCTCGGCGGGGCCGCAACAGCGGCCGCAGAGTAGGGCCGCGTCGGCGGTAGGGCAGGTCCGCGACAGCTGCTGCAGGGCGGGGCCGTGACAGCTGTAGGGCGGGGCCGCAACGGCGGCAGAAGGCTCCGCGGCAGCTGCGGCACGGCGAGGCCGCGACCGCGGCAGGAGGCTCCGAGGCCGCTGCTGTAGGGTGGGGCCGCGACTGCGGCAGAAGGCTCCGCGACAGCTGCTGCAGGGCAGGGCCGCGACGGCGGCAAGAGGCTCCGCGGCAGCTGCCGCAGGGCAAGGCCGCGACTGTAGTAGGGCACTCCGTGGCAGCTGCTGCAGGAGCGTCGATGGGAGTCAGGCAGGGGTGGCGTCCCGGGGCAGCCGCGAGGAACAGGGGCAGCCGCGGCGCACTAGGCTGCAGCGCGCTGCGCGTGCTGCGTGCGCGGCGCGCAGGGCTGCAGCGCGACGCACTAAACCCTAAACGCGGCGCGCGGGCAGCGAACGCGATGCGCGGGGCTGCAGCGCGACGCGCAGGCAGCGGGCGCGACGCGAAGGGCTGCAGCGCGACACGCGGGCAGCGGACGCGACGCGCAGGGCTGCAGTGCGACGCGCGGGCTGCGAACGCGACGCGCGGGGCTGCAGCGCGGCGCGCGGGCAGCGGGCGCGTCGCGTGGGGCAGCGACCTGGCCTGACGGGCCTGCAGGGGCGGCTCGCTGGCCTGATGGGCCTGCAGGGGCGGCTAGCGGGCGTGACGGGCCTGCAGGGGCGGCTAGCGGGCCTGACGGGCCTGCAGGGGCGGCTAGCGGGCCTGACGGGCCTGCAGGGGCGGCTAGCAGGCCTGACGGGCCTGCAGGGGCGGCGCTCTGGCCTGACGGGCCTGCAAGGGCGGCTCGCGGGCGTGACGGGCCTGCAGGGACGGCTAGCGGGCCTGACGGCCTTGAAGGGGCGGCTTGCGGGTCGTACGGGCCTGCAGGGACGACGCGCTGGCCTAGGGCAGCAGTAGGCAGCGCGAGGGCTGCAAGACGGCGCGCGCAGCGCACCACGTCACAAGGCGAGGCAGGCAGGCAGGCAGGCGCACGTGGGGTAGCGTGGTAACCGCAACGGTAGGTGGGCCCGGAAAAAAACGATCCTACGGACCTAGTGCTCTGATACCATGTTAGAATCTAGCAGCAGGAATGAGTGCATTGAACAGAGATGTGGGTACATATGCTGACCCTAATTTGGGTTGTACCCCTTATGGGCTACCCCACTACAGCCTACACAGCACACTCATTATCATAGTTTGACAGCGCCATGTTGATGCGCTTGAACTTCTAGAAGGACTCACAGTCCTTTGCGCACTCTGCAAACGGGACAAGCGCAACGGAAGCACGGGATGGTTAGACACTGGGTGAGGTACATGGATTCAATAGCGCGACACGAAATCCTTCAACACGCAGCTGCCGACAGACGTTGGCCGACCTTGGTCTTCACCCGCATCACCAGGCTCCAGCGGTCACGGAAACGCTGGCTCTAGTGAGAGCTCGCGTTCCAGTTCTTGCCGGGGTAATGCTTCTTCATTCACTCGCGGCTCCACTTCTGGGTGTCCTTCACCGAGATGGCCACCCCGTTAGCGCGCTGAAGGCAGATGTAGCGGTACAACGCTCCCTCCATGTCGGGGTAGTGTGAGTGGCGCCCCCCCCCGTGCATCCGCTTGCGACAGTTAGCCGCGCCCTTGTAGACACCCGCTTCCGCCTCCGCACACCAGCGTCTGATGCAGGCGATGGACGCGGTTGAATCCATCCTCGTCTTCTTCAAGGAGCCGAGCTCCTGATAGCAGCGCGCCCACTTAAGCTTCTCACGCACGGTCCAACTGCGGCGCTTCTTCGTAGTGTCTTTGCTGCGAGGGGAAGGTGGGCGGGTGTTGGGATTATGGAGGGTGGGGTCCTTCGGCGTGACCTTCTCAGGGAACGTGGGAATCGGGCCCGCCGCCGCCGGGTACTCATCGTCGCTGCCCAGCGTCTCGTTCACGACGATGTCGTCAGGATTCGGCGCCTTCTTCACCTTCTTCTTAGCCGCACCCTTGCTGGATCCCGGGTCTCTGTCGGATGTCCGCTTCTTGTTGCTTGTGCGGCGACGAGCAGGGGCTAAGCAGGGGCCTTAGCAGGGGCTTCCGCAACCTTGGCTTTCCCCTTCTCCACAGCGGTGAGTATCGGGCGACGCTCCTCCCCTGGACCGTCGTCGTCAGAGAGCACCACGCGGGCCCGCTTCGACTTGGACCGTAGGCGATGGCGCAGCCTCCGCTTCAGTAGCGGAACATCGTCGTCGGTCCCAAGGCTCCATGGGTCGTCGTCGCCGCCTTCCTCGTCAAATAAGACGGCATCCGTAGCAACCTTGTCCGACTCCGCCACAGCATCCGCATCCGCGATTGCGGCCGCATCCGCAGGCGCAACTGTCTCAAGTTCCGCCCCCCCCTCGTCGTCAGCCTCCTCATTCGCATCCACCGCCGCTTCCTGTGCATCCGCCGCTGCCTCCGCGTTGTCACCATGCGCATTTTCACCTCCGTCGTTGTCGGAATCACCAGCCCGCCACTCTTCCACCTCGTCGTCGCTCCCGACCGGCCGATTCTACCAGTCGTCCTCCTCGATGTCGGCAGGACCTAATTCGTTGCCCGAAGCGCTGTCGTCGTGGCCGTTCTTCGGCCAATCCTCCTCGGTGTCGTCGGCGTTCGCTTCGTCTCCGTCGTCCCTGTCACAGCTCGCACCGGAGGCGGCGGTAGGACTTCCCGCCTTGCTCGCGTTCTTCGCCATGGCTACATGGATGTCATTGCCGGGCGAGTTAATTCGCCCGTAGTTATTCACCTGCACGTGAGGACGAGGTGAGGACTTGCCTACTGGTAATTTGCTGCGCATGGTTAGAGAGCCTGCCGAGAGCAAGGTTGAGACGAGTATTCAACCTCCTTGAGCACGAAATGAAGTGAGAGCCCAACTACCCCCCCCAGCCAGAGTGCCCCATCCACAGGTGCCAAGCCGCTCCTCTACGAGGCATCTCCTCGTAGAGGACAGCCCTCACGCTGCCAACGCGCTGCCAGCAGCGTTCTGGAAGTATCCCTGCGTTGCTGGCAGCAAATCGACGCTGGCAGCATCATTAGATGCTGCCAGCACAGAGGAATGTTGCCAGCGGTGGCAGCTCCCTCACGTGGCAAGTGTGGGCGCTGCATGCATCACCACCGAGATCGGCCTGTTTCAATGAATCTGGTCCTTGGGTGGTTTCTACACACTTGGCAAGTGTTACAGTTAACTTAAAAAAAATTCCATTTATAAGACTTATAAGACACCCTAAACCATCGCGTTTACACGATAACTCAAGCATTTTTGCCAGTGTACGAGATAAGACATATATGTCTTATATCCGGGCGATGACGGTATGCAGGGTAATGCTTTGCATTGCATGGGGCACGCACTCCTCTGGGCCGCATGGGGCCTCTTTTCTTCCTACGGTATCCTGCTTCTTCACCAAGTGGCTGCTCTTCTCCTCACAGAGTAAACACCAGTCACTAGGCATCCTATGGATATCATGTAAAGAGAGCCATCTCAATTCGGCACTGCTTTGGCCCATGCGGGGAACAGTGGTGCCTATCCTACTTCCTATGCTGCTTCTTCACAAGATGCTTACCCCTCTTAAGCATGATATAGCTTAAAGAATCCTCACTTAGGTGCTGCTCTGGCCCACGTGGGATTCTTCCTGTCCTGCTTCTTCACCAGGTGCCTCCTGCCTTTGCGCTGATTCTCCTCCGCAATTTCCAGGAACTTGCGCTTCCTGCGCCGGCCATAACAAGGGGGAAGGGAGAATGGGGGAGGGCGGGGGAAGGGAATGTGGGGGGCGAGGGGTGGGAGGGAGGTCAAACGGGAGGAGCATTGGGGGGATGATTTTTGAGGCGCCTGTTGAGGCGATTTTTGAGGCGCCTCAAAAGGGAATGCGGGGGGCGAGGGGTGGGAGGGAGGTCAAACGGGAGGAGCATTGGGGGGATGATGGACAGGGTTACACAGGTCAGAGCCCAAGTTCCTGTCACTTTAGAAAGGGTTACTGTCTGTTGAAACTTGAAAGCACTGTGCAACTGCAAAAAGGATCAAACTTGAAAGCTCTGTGCAACTGCCTCACCTGTATTTCTTCAAGTCCTCGTCGTTCAACAGCTCTGCTGCAGCATCAGTGGCACCCCGTTCCCAGCAACCAGCAACAGCACCAGCAGCACCACCACCCTGCGATAACCTCACCTGTATTTCTTCAAGTCCTCATCATGCAACAGCTCTGCTGCAAAGCTCTGCTTCCTCTCCCTCCTCGTCAGCCTGCTACTGTAGAAATCTGCTGCTCCCTCCACCACTGTGCCTATCTGAAATTGAGCAAGACATGTGGCAAAAGGGACATATGGGAGCGAGGTGGGTGGGTAGAGCAAGACAAAGGGGGGGGGTAGAGGGGTGGGGGGGAGCGGGCATATGGGTGTGTGCTTCCTCTCCCTCCGTGTCAGCCTGCTGCTGTAGAAGTCTGCTGCTCCCTCCACCACTGTGCCGATCTGAAACATGAAAATGACGACGAGTGAAGAGTGCAAATGACGACGAGGGAATGACAATCAGCTCTGAGGTGACTTTTGAGTCGACTCAAAAGTCACGACGAGTGAATGACAATCAGACGACGAGGGAATGACAATCAGACGACGAGGGAATGACAATCAGACGACGAGGGAATGACAATCAGACGACAAGGGAATGACAATCAGACGACGAGGGAATGACAATCAGACGACGAGGGAATGACAATCAGACGACGAGGGAATGACAATCAGACGACGAGGGAATGACAATCAGCTCTGCTTCCGCTCCCTCCTCGTCAGCCTGCTGCTGTAGAAATCTGCTGCTCCCTCCACCACTGTGCCGATCTGGTGATGAGGAGAGGAGGACAAGTGAAGGAGGTAATGGAAGGGGCGGAACGCGTGGCGTTGTTGTGGGAAGGGGTTCAGGGGGGAAGAAGAACCTTCATATGCAAATGCTGATGACTGGAAAGGGCGAAAGATGACTGGAAAGGGCGAAAGATGACTGGAAAGGGCGAAAGATGACTGGAAAGGGCGAAAGATGACTGGAAAGGGCGAAAGATGACTGGAAACCAGAGCGAGAAGACAGGGAAAGCATTCGCACTGCCATGGCAAGAGAAATGGCACTCTTGGTGCTTGATAAACAGAACAGGTACCTGAAAGTGTGTCGGAAGCTTCTTAGAGTCTGCCGATCGATAATGTCTCTTGGGATCTAGAACGTTCCTCATCTGAACACAGGAGCACAGAGCAGCACAGAGCACAGAGCACAGAGCAGCACAGAGCACAGAGCACAGAGCAGCACAGAGCACAGAGCACAGAGCAGCACAGAGCACAGAGCACAGAGCACAGAGCAGCACAGAGCACAGAGCACAGTCACGGAGGGCAGAGACAGTCAAGAGAATGACAGAGACGATCAGAATGCATTCACAATCCCAGGCACTCACACAGATATGAGAGCAAAATACTCATGGCTGTAGACTGAAACTGAAACTGAGATTGTGACTGAGACTGGGACTGGGAATGTGACTTACAACTGAGACTGAGACAGAAACACAGACTGAGAAACAGAGGCAACACATTACCCGCAGCAACTGAAGCTCTGTCTTGATCTCAGGAGTTATATCCGGTGCAGGAAGGTCGTACCTGGGAGTCACAAAAACGAGCATTTTTTAAGAGCCTTTAAATTCAGCGAAGCGAAACCGCACATTCGACAACTGGATTTACAAGAGTTCTGTAGATACGAGTGCAACAAACAGGAAGCCCGCACTTAGTCCGACCATTGCAAGCTAGCTGGGTGGTGCACAATGCATAACACCACCCAGCCAGTCAGGCCAGCTCACCACTTGGGTCCGGCGGTGTTGGGTTTGTTCTTGCGAGCAATCTGTGCCAGCTTGTGAGGGTCTTTGTGGGGGAAGTACCAGCAACTGTAGGCTATAGCTACATGAAGGATGGTTCGTTATGAGGCGCCTCACTAAGAGCAACTCACCATTTCGGTCCGGCGGTGTTGGGTTTGTTCTTGCGTGCAATCTGCGCCAGCTTGTGAGGGTCCTTCGGGGGCACCTGCAACTGCCCCTCCACCCACTTCTCCCTCCCCTTCCCTCCCCCTTCCCCTTCCCCACCTCCCCTTCCTCCCCCTCCGCCTCCTCCTTCCACGCTCCCTTTCCCCTCTCCTCCCTCCCCTCCCTTACCTCCCTTCCCTTCCCCTCCCTCCTTCTCTTTCTGTTTGATAACAGACAATCGAATCCCAGTCGTGCTTCTAATGCCGCCCAGTTCGGAAGCTTCTCGCAAGACGATCCGTGCCGACCCAGTCGTGGCTACAGTGACTCCCCTGATGCCGGTGCTCTTCCCCCTCGCCACGTCAGTCTTGCCCCTTGCCACGTCAGCACCAGCGCCGGGTTTTTGAGGGGGCGGTTTAGCTTTAGCAGGCTTGTTTTTGTGGCGAGAGTGTGAGAAAAGGGAGGGGGAAAAGAGGGAGGAGGAGAGGGAGGATAGGGAGAAGGGAGAGGAGGAGGAGGAGGAGGAGAAGGTGGAGAAGGAAGTGGAGGGAAGGGTGATTTTGGGTTCCCAAACTATGGGGGCGAAGGAGCGGGCGTAGTCGTCAAGTTTCCTGCAGATGAAGTGAGAAGGGGTGGAAGGAATGGAAAGAAGGGATGAAGTTAGTGAGAAGGGATAGAAGTAAGGGCGTGAGGGATGGGGGCGAAGGAACGAGCATAGTCATCTAGTTTCCTGCACAGCTCGTGAGAAGGGATGGAAGGAAGGGTAACAGTAGAGTGTAAGAGTGTGAAGATCTCTTAACCAAAATCTTGCACAAAGCAAGCGCGAGGGTTTGGAGCTTGGGATGGGACTGAAATTTGTTTATTTTTCAGGGTTTGGGGTTTTGAGCATGGGTGGAGGAGTGTAGGAAGGAGGAAGGGCAGTGTGGTGGTACGATACACGAATGTGAGGTCCCACGGGTCATGGCACGTCGTCACTTGCTCCCTCACACGGGCGAGTCTTACTTACTTTTGCCTCACTGCTTGCTCCCTCACACGGGCGACACTTATTCTTGCCTCACTCCTTGCTCGCTCAACAACATATACTCTTCCTCCCCTTCCTCACCCTCCTCACCCTCCTCCCCCTCCTCCCCCTCCTGATAAAAGGTTTGTTATGAGACGTCTCAACACGAGGCTTACTTACTTTTGCCTCACAGCTTGCTCGCTCAGTACCATATACTCTTCCTCCCCTTCCTCCCCCTCCTCGCCCTCCTCCCCCTCCTCGCCCTCCTCGCCCTCCTCCCCCTCCTCCCTCTCCTCTTCCTCTTCCTCCTCTCCCTCCTCGCCCTCCTCCCTCTCCTCTTCCTCGCCCTCCTCTTCCTCTCCCTCTTCCCCCTCCTCTCCGTCCTCCTCCTCTCTCTCTTCCCCTTCTGCTCCGTCCTCCCCCTCTTCCCCCTCCATCTCCTCATCTTCCTCCTCGCTTTCCCCTCCTTCATTCGGTCTTTCCTCCTCTCCTGTGTCCTCTCCTTCCCCCTCTGCTTCCGCCTCTGCGTCCCCCTCTGCTTCCGCCTCTTCTTCCGCCTCTGCTTCCGCCTCTTCTTCCGCCTCTCCTTCCGCCCCTGCTTCCGCCTCTTCTTCCGCCTCTCCTTCCGCCTCTGCTTCCGCCACTGCTTCCGCCTCTCCTTCCGCCTCTCCTTCCGCCTCTTCTTCCGCCTCTTCTTCCGCCTCTCCTTCCGCCACTGCTTCCGCCTCTCCTTCCGCCTCTCCTTCCGCCTCTTCTTCCGCCTCTTCTTCCGCCTCTCCTTCCGCCACTGCTTCCGCCTCTCCTTCCGCCTCTTCTTCCGCCTCTCCTTTCGCCTCTCCTTCCGCCTCCACTTCCGCCTCTCCTTCCGCCTCTCCTTCCGCCTCTCCTTCCGCATCTCCTTCCGCCTCTCCTTCCGCCTCTCCTTCCGCCTCTTCTTCCGCCTCTCCTTCCGCCTCCGCTTCCGCCTCTACTTCCGCCACTGCTTCCGCATCTTCCCCATCTAAAGCATCCTCAACTTCTTCCTCCTCCCCACTCCTCTCCTCCACCCCCTTGTCCCCATCATCCTCCCCGTTTTCCGCCCCTCCTTTCCCCTCACCGCCTAACAAAGCCCCCTCATCATCCGCCCGATCCGCGCTTCCCTCGGATTCTCCCCCCGCTTCCGCCTCTTCCACCGGAGCCGCGCTTCCTCCTGATTTTTCCCCCGCTTCCGCTTCTTCCACGTTACGCGAGACTTCCACCGGTTGCTCCCCCGCCTCCTGCACCTCTTGCTCTGATGCTACTCCCGTCATTCCTAAAACCAAGAGAATGAAACTTCTATCTTCAGGTAACGTTGGAGAGTCAAGAAGGCCAACAAGAAGAAAAAAGAGGGCTCTAATTTCCCGAGGGCTACCCTAGAAACGCTCCTGGATCGATGCCACGCACCTAACCTTCAACGACAGAGGAAATCACTTCAGGTAATTTGCTGAATTGGCGTATCAGTGAAAGGTCTTTCTAGAAACCCAAAACCCTGCTAGACCCCCGAATGGATTTTGCGGTTCCATAAAACATTACCCGCTGCACCGGCGTAGTGTTTGCCTCAATTTTATGTCATGGGATGAACCTACGCAACATATGGATATAGAGTAATCTTCATGTACTACATTGAAATAATGATAAAAAAATAACAGTCACAACAATATTTCAGTATCGATGTGCTTCTACTTTGACAGCTCTTTGCTTCTTTCCGTGGCTGCAACTACTGCGTTCATCAACGTCGCTCGGAATCCTCCCTTCTCCAGTGCATAAATGCCTGCAATCGTTGTACCTGAGCACAGAAAAACAAACGGGGGCGGGAGACGGGGGAGGGGAAAAGCTTGGTTGTGAGGCGGGGGAGGGGAAAAGCTTGGTTGTGAGGCGGGGGAGGGGAAAAGCTTGGTTGTGAGGCGGGGGAGGGGAAAAGCTTGGTTGTGAGGCGGGGGAGGGGAAAAGCTTGGTTGTGAGGCGGGGGAGGGGAAAAGCTTGGTTGTGAGGCGGGGGAGGGGAAAAGCTTGGTTGTGAGGCGGGGGAGGGGAAAAGCTTGGTTGTGAGGCGGGGGAGGGGAAAAGCTTGGTTGTGAGGCGGGGGAGGGGAAAAGCTTGGTTGTGAGGCGGGGGAGGGGAAAAGCTTGGTTGTGAGGCGGGGGAGGGGAAAAGCTTGGTTGTGAGGCGGGGGAGGGGAAAAGCTTGGTTGTGAGGCGGGGGAGGGGAAAAGCTTGGTTGTGAGGCGGGGGAGGGGAAAAGCTTGGTTGTGAGGCGGGGGAGGGGAAAAGCTTGGTTGTGAGGCGGGGGAGGGGAAAAGCTTGGTTGTGAGGCGGGGGAGGGGAAAAGCTTGGTTGTGAGGCGGGGGAGGGGAAAAGCTTGGTTGTGAGGCGGGGGAGGGGAAAAGCTTGGTTGTGAGGCGGGGGAGGGGAAAAGCTTGGTTGTGAGGCGCGGAATCCTCCCTTCTCTAGAGCATGAGTTCCTGCAATCGTTGTACCTGTGTGCAAAAAAAATACACGGGGCATCATAAATAGCGGGCCAAGGTTGCCATGGAGATAACAACAAATGTATGCGTATAAAACACTTATGTGTTACCTCCAGGAGATGCCACTGAGTCCTTGAGTTGGCCGGGGTGCTTGCCCGTTTCCAATACCATCTTTGCAGATCCGTACACCTGTATTGTGCAATTGAAAGGAGAGGGGGGAAAGAGGGTTGCCAGCATTAACAATAAAAGGGGGGCCACCGAGCGCTTCAGTTGGCCGGGGTGCTTGCCCGTTTCCAATACCATCTTTGCAGATCCGTACACCTGTATTGTGCAATTGAAAGGAGAGGGGGGAAAGAGGGTTGCCCGCATGAACAATAACAGGGAGGCCACCGAGCCTTTGAGTTGGCCGGGGTGCTTGCCAGTTTCCAATACCATCTTTGCAGTTCCGTACACCTGGGTTGTGCGATAAAAGGGAGAGGAAGGGAAGAGGTACGTCCCTCGGCTTGCTTGCAGTATCATCAGCAGGGTTGCTTGAATAGCTCGACAAAACATGGCCTACACTTGCATAAATCAAGGTTATTGCGACAAAGAAAAGGCAATTTACGTACGGTTTGAGCGGCGAGCGAGAGAGCAACGTCTCTTGGCAGGCCAGCAGCCACCCCTCCATCCGCCAGCGCCTCTATCGCCATGAACACATATGCCGGGCCGCTGCCACTGAGAGGGGGAGAGGGGAGTGGGGTGGACGGCGGTACAGAGAGGTGAGAATGGGCAGGCCGGCAGCCACCCCTCCATCCGCCAGCGCCTCTATTGCCATCAACACATATGCCGGGCCGCTGCCACTGAGAGGGGGAGCACGGGGCCAAGGTGACGGAGGGAGGTGGGAAAGAGGGGGATGATGCGTGAAGAATAGAGCAAAATCGCCTGGCAGGCTGGCAACATCGCCACCAGCAGCCACCCCTCCATCCGCCAGTGCTTCTATGGCCATGAACACATATGCCGGGCCGCTGCCACTGAGAGGGGGAGATGTGGGAGGGGGTAGAAAGGAAACCAGGCGCAGGTTCAGAAGAGAGCAGGAGACAGCATTAAGTACAGCTTCTCCCCACCTGCTGGATCTCACCCCACCGCTTCAAACACCTTGTGAGTACATAGCTCCGTAAACCATCTATACACCGTACAAGACACACCATGCCATGCGTTCTTTCCGAGAATTCCTAAAAGCGTACCTGAGCCCAGTGATGGTGTCAAGCAGCTTCTCCTCCACCTGCTTTATTTTCCCCACCGCTTCCAAGTTCGAACATGCACCGCACCGCTATACACACCTTCTGAAAACACACTATCCATACCTGTCAACACCATGTCAGCCATACCTGAGCTCATCATCATGCTTACCTGAGCCCAGTGACGGCATCAAGCAGCTTCTCCTCCACCTGCAGTATTTTCCCCACTGCTTCAAACATGTGCCGCACCAACGCTGCATCCCTGCTTGAGTCGATTCAGAAGGAGCATCGTTGCATCAGCAGCCATACCTGAGCCCAGTGACCGCATCCAGCAGTTTCTCCTCCACCTGCTGTATCTTCCCAACTGCTTCAAACATGCGCTGCACCAGTGCTGCATCTTCGGCTGTCGCCTTGCCTCCCAGGCTCATGGCTGGGTGGGGAAGAAGTCGAGATGGGGGAGATGCCAGGGGTGGAAGGAAGAGGAAAGGTTTGGCGCTTCAAACATGCGCCGCACCAGCGCTGCATCCTCTGCCGTCGCCTTGCTGCCCAGGCTCATGGCTGGGGAAGGTTGTCAGAGTGGGGAGAGGTTAGAAGGAAGGAAATGACAGAAGCTGGAAGAAGCCGTGAGTGGGAATACCAAGGGAGGTTCGTTTTAAGAGCGTTGAACATGTTACGCACCGCACCAGTGCTGATAGGTCTGGCAGCAGTGGCCGTGAGCAAACTTTTGAGTCGACTCAAAAGTCAGGACCAGTGCTGATAGGTCTGGCAGCAGTGGCCGTGAGCAAGAACCTGTGCTGGCTGCACTTTCTTTTGCTCCGTCTCACCTGCTGCTGTTTGCCCCACCAAGCAGGGGGTATTCGGCATGACTCGAACAATCTTTGCCTCGTCACCCGCCCACTGCTGCAGATTCGCAATCGTCACCCCCGCAGCAATGGACACAACCAGGTGGGTGCTTGTTGTGGGTGCTTGTTGGTCTGTCAGCAATCCTTCTCACCTGCTGCTGTTTGCCCCACGAGGCACGGGGTATTCGGCATGACTCGAACAATCTTCGCCTCGTCACCCGCCCACTGCTGCAGATTCGCAATCGTCACTCCCGCAGCAATGGACACAACCAGGTGGGTGCTTGTGATGGCGGCGCTGTCTCTCAGTTCCGATAGTACCGCCTTCACCGTGTGGGGTTTCACAGCAATGAAGATCACATCGCTGGCTGCTGCAAGCTGTATGGATAGAGGAAAGGGAGAGACAGGAAGGAAGGGAGGGAATGGAGCGAAGGGAGGGAATCAATGGACACAACCAGGTGGGTGCTTGTGATGGCGGCACTGTCCCTCAGTTCTGACAGCACGGCCTTCACTCTGTGGGGCTTCACTGCCATAAATATGACGTCACTGGCTGCAGCGAGCTGGGGGAAGGAAGACAGGGAAAGGAGGGAAGAGGCATGGAGAGAAGGCCAGCAATGGACACAACCAGGTGGGTGCTTGTGATGGCGGCGCTGTCCCTCAGTTCTGACAGCACGGCCTTCACTCTGTGGGGCTTCACAGCAATGAAGATCACATCGCTGGCTGCTGCAAGCTGTATGGATAGAGGAAAGGGAGAGACAGGAAGGAAGGGAGGGAATGGAGCGAAGTTGGCGGCGCTGTCCCTCAGTTCCGACAGCGCGGCCTTCACTCTGTGGGGCTTCACTGCAATAAAAATCGCATCGCTGGCTGCTGCGAGCTGGACGGAAGAGAGGGAAGAAAATGTAACGCTTGGAAGGGGGGATGATGAAGAGGACAGGGAAGGGACAGGGACGGACAGGGGATGGGAGGGAATGGGACAACAACAGATTTTAACACGAGATAACAAGAGAGGACGATGCAGCATAACTCTTTGCACGTAGTCTTAGCAGCCATCCCCATCTCAGCGAACACCGCCAGTCACTCGTGACTGAGGTCCATGGCACTCATGTCGCTCATGTCGCTCATGTCGCTCATTTCGCTCATGTTACTCATGTCGCTCATGTCGCTCATGGTTACTCAGGGAAAGGATCAGTCGGCATACCTCTTTGCACGTAGTCTTAGCAGCCACCCCCATCTCGGCAAACACGGCCAGTCGCTCCTGGCTGAGATCCATGGCGCTCATGTCGCTCGCTGCTACAACCCCCGCGGCGCTCATCCCCCGCGCCAGCGCCTCCGCCATCTGCCCCGCGCCTGTGTAATGGGGAAAGGGGAGAAGGAGGGGACCCTGTGAACAGGGGAAAGGGGAGCCTCATGCGCTCATCCCCCGCGCCAGCGCCTCCGCCATCTGCCCCGCGCCTGTGCGTTGGGGGGACTTTGCCGCGGAGAAGGGGGAGAGGGGGCGTATGTGGAGGGAAATTTGTAAGATTACACCACTATCAAGCCGGGAAATTCAGAGAACCGAGCACGCAGGTCACAACGAGACGCGTATGCGAGTGGCCACGTCGCGTTTCGGGGCAGTCAACGATAGTCGGCAACGGTCAGAGAATGAACAGGGTGAATTTCGAGTCGACGACGCCGGTGCGCAATCACTCACCCACGAACCCCAAGCGCACCCGCTTCGCCTCCGACATAATGCCAAACCGCGTTCCGACTGAAAATGCGGGGAGTTCTGGGCGGCGGAAATGGAGGGGAGGATCCACACCCAGTTGGAGAACTAAGGCAAGAATGAAAGAGGATATTCCTTCAGGTAAAATGGAGGAGATTTGGGTCGGACGGATTATTTCAACATAAGGCTTTCCAGAACATGCGACATGTGTGGGCTGAGGTCGACGAAGTGTACATAAAGCACTTCAATCTTATATTATTGACCGGAATTCGAATGTTTTACAACACAATGCGTAATAGTTGAATGAATTTTTCAAACTTCTCGAATCATCTGCAGGATTTTTTATCTCCTTTTTAAATTCATGAAATGGATCTCATATATTTAATCAAACTTGCATGTTATTCAACGCAATCCCTGAGCTTCCTCTCCAAATGCTCACATTGCTTGCTTGCAAGTCTGATTCAAACGACCCTTTATCGAGCAGCTTCCCTCTTTCATTTACACTTCACTTCTACTCCTGTCCTGTTCAGTCCCCTTCCCACATGAACTACGGCACTCGCCAGACTGTTTGTTAGCTCCCCCTTCGCCCACCTTCTCTCGCCGCCGATCCGTCGTTTCGCCTCAGGTGAATTGGCGCGCATGCACTTTCTGTTTCCTTCGATCTCACTCACTCACTAAAACATGTGTTTAAATGGTGTGTAAGGTTGCGGAATCGCCCACGATAGGTTTTTCCTTCCTCCTCATTCCCAACCCCGGGAAGCGTTTTTCGCAGGGGTGAACCTGGTCCAGGATAGGAAGGCGGATAGCTGCTAAGAGTTGCGCGTCCATCCGCCGTTACCATAAATGGCGTCAGTGCTGGCCTCTGCAGTAGTGTCACTAAGAAACGAGGAGCCACGTACAATCAGTGTAACCTCCGCAGATGTTCAAAGCGCCTTGGTTGCAGCTCAAGCAGACGCAGCAGGACCGGCGACAGATATGGCGATAGGGGAGGAGAAAGCACAAGAAGCTGCTAAGGTTAGCCTTTCAGACACGATTGGTCTTCTCAAGGCTCGTATTGGAGCTTGCTTAAACGAGTACATTGAGAAGTATGAAGGAGGAGGTGGGAATGGGGAGGAGGGGGATGCAGGACTCTGGGATGGTGAAGAGAATGGAGAGGAGGAAGAGGACGAGGGTAGTAAAAGGAAGAAGAATGGCAAGAGAACTGGCGGAAAATGAGTTACCTACAAGATTGCCAGAATGAAAGGCTTCTTTTTTTATTGCAACATGGTACCGGTATGGTTGGTTTATGTAATTGTTACGTGTGCAATTGAGTGAAGGAACGAGAATTGCACTATCGAAGCAAAAGTACAATGAGCGAAGGCATGAGCGAAGGATTATATAGCGAAACAATAGTGGTAACGGTAATGGACTGTGGTTGTCGCGCGTCGAGCCTGGGACTGAGGTTGGGAAAGTGTCGAAGCGTAGGCCCGGAGCGCGGGTTACCAGCCGAGCCGTGAGGTCGGGATGCGATGTGCGAAAAAGGCGGGATGATGAATGATGCGATGGTCGCGAGTGGTAACGGTGCTGACTGAGGTGCTACAGTGACGTACGCGCTGGGCAGGGACGCGAAGTAAGGAAAAGGGAATTTCCTTACACTACCCCCCTCCCTAAGGAGGCCCCTCTTACGAGAGCGCATGGACGTCGCGGAAATTTCGGCTTCGCAGATACTCGGTGAAGACAGGGTGGTTCTCAATTTTATCCAGGGGGACCCAGTTGTCTTCTGTTGGCGTTCGGTCCTTCCAGCGAATTAGGAACTCGATCCTTCGGGCTCCCTGAGGGTCGCGGACGCGGTGGCTGAGGATTTTTTCAGGGGTGATGAGTGGTTCGGTTGGGGGACGTGTCATGCTGGCTGGGCGATTTCGTGGCAGTTGGCTCGTGGATGGGATGTAAGGGCGAAGTAGGCTGACGTGGAATGACGGGCTGACGTACCAGTCAGCGGGGAGGAGGAGGTGGGCGGTGACGGGCGTGATCATGTGGCTGATGCGAAATGGCCCACAGTATCGGGGGCGAAGTTTTGGAGTGATGGGCAGGCGAAGGTTCTGAGTGTCGAGTAAAACGAGGTCGTCGGGCTGATAAGTAACGGGTCTGCGATGTCGATCGGCGTTGCGTTTAGCGATGATGTTTGATTTTTTTATTGCTTCTGCTGCCCTGGTCCGTGCTGCTTGCAGGATCTCGGCGAACTGTTGTGCTCGTGGGACGGGGTTGTCGGGATTCGGTGTCATGGGTACTGTTGGGTCCTGTCCGTAATTTAGATAAAACGGCGACTGTTGCGTCGTGGCCGATGGTGCGTTATTGTATGCGAACTCAATGAGTGGCAGTTGCTGTTCCCACGTATTCGGGTCGTCGCACGTGGCTCGAATCAGCTGCTCCATGGTCTGATTTGTCCGTTCCGTCTGTCCGTCGGTTTCGGGGTGATAGGATGAACTGAACTGTAAGCGCGTGCCGAACTGCTGCCACAGGTTCCGCCAGAAGTTGCTGGTGAATTTCGTGTCCCTGTCGCTGATGATCGACGCGGGTATCCCGTGCAGGCGTACGATGGTGGAGATGAATAGTCGGGCGGTTTCCTCGGCTGTGATGGATTTCCTGCATGCTGCGAAATGAGCCATTTTCGTTAGTCGATCGACGACGACCAGGATCGCGTCATTCCCACTCGCCCCAGCTGGTAACCCCGTGACGAAGTCCATCGTCACCTGCTGCCAAGCACGCTCTGGAGGCGGGATGGGTTGTAATTGCCCTGCTGGTCGCTTCCTGCTTGTCTTCATGAGCTGGCAAGTGGGACACGATGCCACGTGTCGTTGCACGTCAGTCAACATTTCTGGCCAGTAGTAGTACCGCTGCAGCTGCTGCCGTGTTTTTTCTACCCCGAAATGTCCCGAGGTAACTCCATCGTGTGCTTCCTGTAACAGTAGTTCCCGAAGTAACGTGTATCCCGGTACCCAGATGCGGTCGGTTCCAGTTTTTACGTAATAGACTCCTTTTGCCGCTGCGAATTGCTGTGAGTTGCCTCCTGTAAAGAACGGGTCTGTTTGATATCCGTGGGTAAATAGGCCGGTAAGCAGTGGGCTGGTCTGGGCGAGTAGTATCGCGTGGATCTGGGCAGTGGGGCGGGTCAGTGCGTCGGCGATATTCGATGCTCCTTTTTTGTATGTGACCGTATAGTGAAAATTCGACTCGAGGAAATCGAGCCATCGAATCTGTCGTGGGTTGAGGTGGGGCTGTGCGCGGAGGTACTGTAGAGATCGGTGGTCTGTCCGTACTGTCACGTCTGCGCCAGTCAAGTAGCAGCGCCAAACTTTGAATGCATGCACGATCGCGAGCATTTCGCGGTCGTGTATCGGATAATTTCGCTCAGGCCGATGTAGTTTTCGTGATTCGTAGGCGATGGGTTGGAGGCCGTTGCCGAAGTCCTGTAACAGTACAGCTCCGATGGCGATGTCACTTGCGTCGGTAACCACTTCGAAAGGGCGGTGGGGATCAGCGATGCGTAGGACGGGTGGTGAGCAGAGAACGTTTTTTAGGGCAGAGAAGGCAGCATGCTCTTTCTCCCCCCACGTAAAAGCGACCCCCTTACGCAGTAAATCAGTTAGTGGGGCGGTTAAACGTGCCATGTCGGGCACGAACCGTCGAACGTAATTAACAAACCCTAAAAAACTCTGCAGTTCCGTGATGTTCGTCGAGGGGCGCCACGCTTTTACCGTGTCCAGCTTCTTTGGGTCAATCTCAACCCCAGCCTCTGAAATGACGTGACCTAAAAACTCTAGCCTATCCCTAAAAAACTCGCACTTGGAGCCCTTGGTGAGCAGCCGATGTTCCTCTAAAACCTTAAAAACTGCTTCAAGATCTGCTAAGTGTTGCTGCTTATCCCGACTGTAAACAAGGATATCGTCTAGGTAAACGATGACGCATTTATCTAAAAGTGGCCTAAATGCCTCGTTCATGGTCATCTGAAAAGTCGCAGGCGCGTTCGTCAACCCGAAGGGCATTACTGTATACTCGAATGACCCGTACCGAGTCCTAAATGCTGTTTTTGCGCAGTCCGATGGTTCGACGCGAATCTGATGGTAACCTCCTCGTAAATCTATTTTCGAAAAGACACGTGCTGTTCGCAGTTGGTCAATCAGTTCGTCGGCGCGGGGGATGGGGTATCGCGATTTGACTGTTACTCGGTTAAGCGCTCGGTAGTCGATGCACATGCGAAAACCTCCGTCTTTTTTCGGTGTGAACAGTATGGGTGCGGCGAACGGTGACGAGCTCGGTCGAATAAACTGCTTCTCTAACAGGTAATCTAACTGCTTCCTTAACTCGTCGAGCTCGGGCTGTGTCAGTCGAAATTGCCGCTGTACTGTTGGCTGTGCCCCCGGTTCTAGCTCGATCCTATGGTCGTGCGCTCGCTGAGGTGGCAGTCCCTGTGGTAAATCATCTGGAAATATCCCCGGGAACCGTTTCAGTAGTGCTTGTAATTCGGTCGGTACGGCTGCTAGTAGTTTCTGTAAATCGTTCTGCCGCTCGTCTTTTTCTACCACTGCGATATCCACTGCGTACACGTCAGCTCCAGCAGCGACAGCCCGTTTCATCGCGATGGCGTTGACCTGGACTGTCGAAGATTCGGGTGGCCGCCAGCGAGGTAGGACGACCCAGTTACCGCTACTTCGCACTGTGCAGCTCCCCGTCGTCCAGTCGATCCGTGGGTTGTACCGTCGCAGCCAATCACGTCCCAGTAAAATGTCGTGCCCATCCAGCGTCGTTGCGAGCATTTCCTGTGTAAACCCGAAGTTTCCCCCGCAGTGGACTTTTACTCGCTCCACTTTTTCTCGTATGGCCAAAGGCGTGCCGTCGACTAAGCGTGCATCTATCTCAGGTAAACATCGGTTAAGTGTTAACTGTAATTTCCGTGCGGTTGCAGTATTAACTAAGCTGTGACTTGCTCCTCCGTCAATGAAGATTTTCACTGCTGCTCCCTGTATTTTCCCGTAGATCAGTACCGGG